GTTTAGATCTGTAGGCTGCTTTAATTATGAACGCTATTAGTTTTCATACAAAATTTTAATGCTTTCTTTCATGTATTCATTCTATGACCATGGAACAAAAATACAAGAATTTTTACCAGAAACTCTGAATTTGGAGCAGTGGCACTGTAGGGCTGCAAGAATCTTCTGTAGGGCATTCATGGAAGGAAGTATATCACTTATTTTTTTCTCCCTGTGTCCTTGAGAGAAGCTAACATATAATAAATATCACAGCACACATTCATACAGTGATTGCAGAGGAGACCATCAGAGAGAAGAAATCTAAGGGCCAGGTAACCAGGGTTGCCAACATCTTTGTTTTAGTTCTTACTTACCGTGATCAAGCAGGAGCAAGAATTTTTCCTACTGATTTTTTTTTCATGAGCCAAAGTGATTCTCAAAGAGCACAATAATAAATCAGTAATGGGAAACAGATCTGGGTGGTCTTTTGAAGCTTTAATAGGAAAATATTTATCTTTGTGCTTGCACATGGAATGGAGAAAACAGAGTCCTGAGGGCTTTTGTAAGCAGTAAATAAAACTGATTGCATATTTTCATCACTCTAAAGCTTTCATTAGGAGTAAGTAGTTAAGGTTTTGATGGGGAATTTTACTTAAAATAATTGAATTGCTATAACTGAGATTGCATGGTATGCTCAATCTCAAGAGGTCTCCTAAGGTAAGTGTCTGAGTCATACCAGTGGGAAGAAAACAGAGGGATTCCTAAAACACAGCAATGGATAGGTTTATTAGAAGTGCAGCACTGCAGCAGTGATGGTAAGCGAAATATCTTCAAGACTGGCAGGAGAAGCTTTGGATGAAACCTTGCAGATACAATTTTCTCCTGTGGCTGAAAGAACCAGCAAGACACTGACAGTAAGAGTGGCTCTGGTTTTCAGAGCTGGATGGCAGATTTACTGGCCTTCAAAGCTAGAAATTGGGCATATCACAGCCTGCTCTGCCTTGCTCCACTACTTTTGAAATATGGAATACATCAGCAACAAAACCACTTGCTCTCAAGCTGTGACCACAACCAAGCACAGGTGCCCCGCAGCTCCTATTCACGGACAAACATGTGGTCCAGAACACTGGGAAGAAAGAATCACAGCATCTCTGTTATAGCTCAGCTCCTGAGGGGTTTACACCAATGTCCTTCCTTCTAAACACAGCAGCAAAGTCAAGCATGCATGATTTACTGTTGAATGGTTCTATAAAAAAAAATATTTCACTTGTAATTTCTGCTGCTATAAATAGCCACGTGGTGACAAACCTCCATGGACTGCAGCAAAGCAAACACAATCTACTCAGGCATTACGCTAGTGTACACTGGCACTAAATGCAGTAACAGAGCATTTATAATTTATTTTAGATGCCCACAACAGAAGCTCAAGCAGAGTCATTGTGATTACAGCAGTTACCTGGATTTTCACCCTTTTGCTGTGCTGAATTACATAAGGAGAATCGAATTTGGCTCATGGTCTTTCTTGGCACTCAAGTTTAGCATCATCTACATTTTTATCTTAAGACAGAAGGAAGTGAAACCCGCTGCTGTTTCACCCGCTGGATGAAGGGAATCCAGCAGAAACCAAATGGTTTATGGCCACCCTGCCATTCTGAGCGATCATTGACTCAGTTGATGCAGATTCCTACATACATGGAAATCACCTTTCTGCAGATGTTGCTTCTGAAACTGAATGAGGGTTCAAAGGGAAAGCGTGGTGCCCACTAAGGGGAGCTAGTTCCTCAGCTACTTGAGATGCAGAGAAATTGAAGGCAATCAGACAACCAACTGTTGAGCAAGACAGAAATGGGGACTGAAAAACAGGGCTGCTGGTGAAGAGGAGTAACAGTCTTGCTAAAATTGAGCTTAATTCCCTAAGATAGTTAGGTTTAGCATATTTATAAGTGGGAATCTCTACATCTCTTTTGTGTTTCTGTGATGGAATGAATGCTGGGATTCTTGATCTTTGTCATTAATTGCTATAGCTCCATGGAGAGAAGCATAATTTTGACTGTATCCACTGGACCTGGAGAAATCCACTTTCTTCCATTCTGTGGAATCAGTTAGCTCCTCCCCTGAAGCAATCTCCTTCCTCAGCCGCGCATTTCCTCTACTCAGCCTTTTTATCTTTCCTTAGCTAACTTCGCCTGAGACTGGAGTAAAGAAGATTATGAGGGAGGGGTAGTTCATTGGCAAAACATCAGAAGCAAGCTTTGTCAAAATGCATATTTTTGAAGCAAATGTGGTTGATTTACCGCTTACATATTTTATATAGATACCTGGAAGTAGCAATGAATCATTACAGTTTAATGGTTATTAATGCCTATATCTTCCTTTCTGAGGCAAAATTCTGATTTTCATAGGAATTCTACTTGAGCAGGATGTGCTATATTTGGCTTTTATTGTGCAATAATGAAAACAACAAAATACAAAAGCCTGTAGTGAAATGTTATACAGAAAGTACACAGACCTTAAGGTGACACAAATAGGAAAAGTAAAATAAACTGTGTGTCATACTGTTGCAGCTGTTTCACCTCTTACCAATTTTCACAGTCTATAAAATCTTGGAAAGCACCAGATGTTTAGGGGAAGCTGTCCTACTCTGCCTAGCTTTGGAAGTGAATGTAAGATTTATTAGTGCTATATCAGTGCGATTTCAGTACTGGTTTTTGCATTTATAAACTAGGTGGAACATATAACACATTCCAATGTCAGAAAGCCCGTTTACTTTCCTCTGCTACTCCTCACTTGTAGATTTTGGTGTTGCTGAACAATTAAAGTAACTGCAGAACAATACCAGAACATGCTTTCCAGACGATACTATTTGCTATGTTACTGACAAACACAAAGCTTTCTCCAAGTCCTAACTTTAGCCAAAACAACCTTCCAGTCCACTGATTATAAGCTATGCAAACCTATTCTGTTGTGCATGAATATGCACTACTATTTAGGATTCCTGCCTACGCATAAACTGTTGGTGCACAAAATTATTATTTTTTTTTCCGAGTGCATGGTTCCTCACATTGGAACAGGAATAAAAACTGCTCATGCATACTTTCCAATCTCTCATAGCTCAGTGGTGCTGTAAAGTGCTGCCATTCGTTTTAATTCAGTGAGAAGAAGTTTTGTTGTGTTTAGTACTAGAGAACTGCATGTGTTATTAGAAAGCCTCTGACAGCTGTCAGAATCAGAGATAACTTGCTGGATTTCAATCTTCCATAAAGGAAGGACTGAGGACCCTCATCCCCAGCAAAGCTGTCAGGGTTCTCACAAAGTGGGATAAAACAGAATACCTTTTCCATACACAGGGAGATCTCTATCTCTCCTCTAAACCATCTCCCATCAATTTGTACAGGGAAAGTTGCATAGGTAGAAGAGAGAGAAAATATGTCTTGATGTATCAGTGCTTTATACTGTCTTGTCATCACTGACATGAAGGGATAATTGCTTAGCAGTTTGCCTTGCCTTGAGGAAGCACTTGATGTTTTACATGGTATTTAATAAATTAGCACAGTATTTTAACAAAATGTACTAGCTTTCATGCAGCTTTGCTTTTCTGAGAGCAGGAACAATGAAAATGTGAAATACATTGATGAAGACAAGGGCTTTGCATCAAAGACTGAAAGTCTGAAGCTGGAAGCATTTCCACATTTCTGAGCACAAAACTTACCCTGCCCAAATCTTTCAGTGGATTCAAAGCACCAGAAAAGGAAATCTCTTAAGGCCTGAGATCTTACCTTCCAGCTTTTGATTTGAACAGGTGCTTACTTTAACAGAAACTCCACTATATATTTAGTTACAACGTTTTTTTTCATAAAAGCCTACATTGTGTGATCACAATTAGTGACGATTTAGGTCTTGCATACTCTTTAAGTTCAAAGGGAAAGTAGCTTTTTCTGTCTTTAACAGGTGGGCATTTATTTCCTATCTACTCTTATTTAGCTTTCAGGTGATGAACTGCCTCTTCCCTCTGTATGGGTTTCCCCCATGCAGCACTTCTTCCTGTGGTAGTTTCCTTTACCAGAACAAAGGACTGAGAAGGCATGCCTATTTGTATCAGTTTTATAATTGCTATTTGCATTTTTGCTTATGCTGTTTTTGTAGCACACTTGATAGTCTTTGCCATTTTGCTTACTCTGATCCATTTTTCATCCTGTTTTCTTCTCTCTATCCATCTCATACCACCACTGTGCTGAATAAGGTGAAAATGCATGTGTGAGTCAGAGTCATGCTTTCAAAGTCACATTGATCAGTGGGGTTTGAAATTAGGCAGAGATTGCTGATATTTTGTCTTACAAAAGAAGAAAATAGTATTTTCCTTAAGTACAATAAAGTTTATCCCATTTTTCCAAATGATTTTTTTCCCCCCAGATTCAGTTTTGCCTAGGATGTTTACAAAGGTTTGATATATAGCTATATACTATATAGTTATAACTATATATATAAGCTGGTTCTGTTCTTTCTATATTATCATATTATTATCGTATCATATGTTTAATACTTCCTGCTCAGCACACTAGAAGAGGGACATTAGCACATTTTAACTGGGAACAGGGAATTAATAATTTCTCATGTATGTAACATTTTAAGTTATATATACTATATACTATCAGAATTAAGAAAAGAGCTGTTGCAATTTATGTTGAATAGATGTTATACAATGCTACTATCTTTCAACTTGTAAGAGCCTATTTTGGCCTTGTTAAGCTTGTTATCATTTCCTCAACCAAAGTTTTCTAATATTTCACATATTGTGCACAACTTACATCAGAACTCATAACACCACACAATTCCTTTTGAAATATGAAATATGAAATGTGACTTGCTCTGGGATGGAAGTGTCATTTCCTACTAGAAATTGAGATGCATCTGCAGTTGTTTCATTGCAAGTATTGACCAACAGCATCTTCCAACTTTGCAGAACTCTGCAGATCTTTGCTATTACCAGTATTTCCTTCCACTAATATTTAAACTCTTCTTACCTATGAACAGATTCCACTCAGTATCCAAATCAGCCTGATTTGCTAGGCAGCCCTTCATTACATTGAGGCAATAGTTGTTGCAAGGTTTCACAGTGGGAAGTCCTCTGCAGTAAGGGCAGTACAACATCTTCATTAACGCCCGGATGCACCCTGGGGTGGGACTGACCTGCAGAGTTTGAAGGGGGGAAAGAAAAAGAAAAAGGAGGAAATCAATCTCCTGTTCTGTGAATGCTGGGGTAGCTGAGATTATGCCTCTCAAGCAATAAGCGTAGAAGGGGCAATCTGTGAGAAAAATCTCAACCCTTAACAACACCCTACTATGATGCTAAACAATTCCTACTCATTGTCTTCATCAACTACAGCCGCAGTGACTTTCAGGAATGCAAAAAAATCAACAATCCCCTCCTGATGGCAGCACTTTCTGCCCCAGCCCTCCCACATGAAATCTATTGGAACTAAAGGAAAAAAAGCCAGGAAGTAAGTTGGGCAGAAACTGACCGATCCTAACCAGGAGGATCCTGAGGATTTGCTACACTCTTCTCACTCAGGCTAGAACTGCCAGTCACACTGGATGAGATTCTCCTCTTCATTAAAGTGCAGTAAATCCAAGATAATTCCAAGATAATTTCTATCAAATTATTCAGAAATGCATCATGAAAAAGGGATATCATCCTGTTCTCACACAAAAAACACTCTTCTAACACTCTTCTATTTTCTCAGGCAAATTCATAAAGAGATCAGTCTTTTTTTTTTTTTTTTTTTTTAATTTAATGTATGGTTTTCTCTTTCAGTATCTTGAGCAACAAAAAAGCATTTTATTGACAACAGCCTAACGCACTTCACGTTAAGCATCAATATGGCAGAACGTGGCTGCACTTGTTGAACTTAGAACTGCCATCACAGCCAATGGAAAGACACCCCGTGAGTTTAGGGATTTCAGTCAAAATCATTAATGTGTGTACGGCTGACAGAAAGAAATAGTATGTAGCTATAAACTTTCATTTATATCTAATAGAGTTTTCACTAGAGTCATGGTTTTCCCGGAGATGGAGAATTAAGGTCAGAGAAAGATTTCTTTCATAAGGACCTCCTGCTATCTCTAATGATAGGATCTTTCCTGCCATCTTTTTTATCCATCAAATGCCAGGCATCCATTCAGTAATACCTTCTGTATCCAATTGGAGAGAAATAAATCTTTTTGGGGAAGTTTCTTTATCCCTTTTATTGTAGGGTAGGATAAATCTTCTTCTAGAGGACATTCACTGAATACTCCCTAAATACTCCATTCTTAGATTTAAACTGTCCAAATTGAGCACATTTGATAACCACTTAGTGTTCGTTGGATAAATATTATTTCCCTTACCCTCTCATTTCCTTATTTCTTTCATATCAGACTTAAAATTTTACATGCTACAATAATGTATGTTTTCAGGACTGAAACTCTATCTTGCATTAAAAGTGCACAATATTAGGTACTACTTGCAAAAGGTCTTGTCACAGTGCAGTGGAGCATATGTTTCCTGTGTCAGAGTGACAGTCTAGCACAGTGACAGAAGGGCTACAGGCTCCTCAGTGATTTGAGAATTTCTGAACAGGAAAGTGCAAAGAAATGGCATTCCTTTCACTCATTTTGTTGGCTTATGAGTAAATGCAACAGTTTAATATGAATTGCAACTATTTTTTTTTCTATAGTCATGGAAATTTGTGCTAAAAGAGAGCGTGAAAGCATGAATCTGACTTTGCAATATAGCAGCCTGTGCTAAACCGACTGATAGTTCAGTTCAGATAGTCTTTCTTCCACTTCTTCTTTTTTTTTTTTTTTTTTTTTTTTTTTTTCTTCTGGGATTTCTTTTCTTCTTTCTGGTACAGAATGTTTTCATCACACTGGACTTTTTTTTGGACAACTCTGCTAACAGTTAGAGCAGATGCTTCTGACTATGCTCAGAGGTGACTTTTGCCTCACTTTCCTAAAGAAATGCACTTTACTCACGCAACACTCAGATGAGGTGTGTAAAGGTATATTCGGCCATCTTGTCCTGATAACTTTAGAGCATGTTGGCCAATTTCAATCAAATTTGACCGAGGACTTCAAGTCTCAGTACAATAAGATCCTACAAGCTTTTGGAAAACAGCTGGGAGAAGAAAAGGAGATAGTCTCTGTTACTGCCTTTATTTAGGAAAAGGCTGAATCAGAAGGTCAGTTCCACAAGGAAATCAAAGAATACACATGGAGAATGATTCTGTGAATGTCCCAGCGGTTAAAAAAGCACTAAAAGTAGAAATTTAACATTATTAATCACCAGAAAATCCAAATACTAAGTATAAATCAAAGGAAGCATTATAATCATTATTTCCACTGCTCAGAACAACTTTCTGTGGTTACTTGCCTAGCTTTTTTTATCCATATACCCCCAAAACCTAGAACAGGCCCACTTTTATAAAAAGATTAGCAGTGAAAGGGGGATGTGAGTAAAATACAGAGCACTCAAAATTAGTTTGAAATTGCTGTTTATACTTTGTTGTATTTCTTCCAGTCGCCACTGAGAGTTTTATCAGCGAAGTTACTTTCATGTCTAAAATTGTGCTTCTTCCCCCTCCCAGAGTTCTTGTCAATGCAAAGTTGTTGACACCTGGTTGACCTCCTAAGTTCAGCTGAAATCCACATGTTCTCCCATCTATGTCTTCTCAAGCCCATGCTGGTACTTGTGCTGACATCCCTTATATTTGTGGGGTCTTAATCTTCTGTGAAAATATACTGGTGCTTTCATTCTTGAAAAGCATAACTAGAGAAATAAAAACAGTTCTGGTTTATATTATTGTATTTGTAACAACCAAATATCATAAATATTTACATGAGCTTTATTTTATCACAAATTTAATCAGGTACCAAATTTTTCTCTGCTAAAGGTCCTGATCATATCTCTGATATGCTAGCACAGGACCCTGAAAGTCAGTTAGAATATATATTTACAAGAGCTCAGTGAATTCTGAATTCTTTTTGCATTACAGGTCAGCTTTAATCAGAGCACTGTCTCATGGCATCCACTCCAAGGTAGCAAGGATAATTTCTTACCACACAAAAAGAATGAGCTGAACTCAAGCCTCTCAGATCTTGTCTGAATGTTTCAATATCCTTTGTATAAAATGGTGGCATCATCAACATCATTTTATAAGAAAGGAGGGTGCCCTGCTTTTTCTTTTTGAGAGAAAGCCATTTTAAAGAGAGGCCAAACTGTGACTTGAAGAAAAAAGCACCTGGAGAAAACTACAGCAGCCTTTGGTAGATTATAGAGACCTATATAAGCATCTCCTTGCTGATCATGCTGGATGTTGCAGATCTCTGTCTCAGAAGTTGCTATGCTGCTTAAATAAAATATCAGCTGATCACTCTGAGGCCAGGTAAAGGGTCTAGCTTACATTCAAGATGTTTATGGCTAGCACCTACAGGCCACATTCCATAATACTACATTGCATTTGGCACTACAGGCTCCCTTGGGTTCCACGTGGTGCCTGAATAAGTAAAATAAATATTTTTGTGTGGTTATTTTTCAGCTATGGAATAATAAGAGGCAGTACTGCAAGCAGTAGGATTAGCAATAAGCTAAATATAATGTTGCATGTTTTGAAGAAAGAGAGGAGGTTATTTCTATGATATTTAGATTACACTAGGAAGGAAAGAAGAGGACAACAACAGGACAAGTATCTTCTGGAACTGATCTCTATGAGGAAACTTCCTCTGAAAAGCACACAGGCCTCCCCATTGCATGGGGAGATCTAAAGCAGGCGGTCCAAAATCGATCCAGGAGGGTCTAGCAATTAAGCTGTGATCTGGTGAGTCTTGTTCTCAATGCTGCTCCATGTCTCCATCACCTACAGTACAAATGTACCTCCACATGACCATATTTTATTGTGGCAAAGGGAAAAATGAAGATGAATCATCTACTCTAGAGGCCTGAAGATTTTATGAATCCAGCCTCCAGTGAGCAGCCAAGTTTTGATTTTTTTTTTTTTTTGATTTTCAGCTTCAACCCTTTTTTTCCTATTACTTCATTTTCAGAGAATAGAATCAGCTTTTTCTCTTTCCTTAATGACAGCTCTCATGCATAACAAATTATCAAAATTTTCTCTAACAGTGTGAAATCTTGGTAAAAGAACAAACATAAAGAAATCAGCTTAGATTTTGAGAACACATGGAATCTGTATATTATTATAGAAAGTTGCTTTTCAACCAATCAGATTTCAACCAATCAGATTGGCTTGACACATTTTCTGATGGCAAATTGAAAGAAACATATTTTGAAAGCCTATTTCTCATGTTCGTCTTTCCATCTTAAAACAAACAAACAAAATCTCCAATATCAAACCAAAGAAACCCCACAGTATCTTTACTCAGAATCTCTCACACCTAAAAATATTTTTTCTGCAGACCAGTCAAATGAAAGACATTCATATCATTCAGAGGTATTTGAACCCTGCATTTGCTCAGGAAAACTGTTTATCAGCTTTAAATAATATTTGTTACTATAGGCTTTTATTTACTTATTTAGTCTTTTACAATGCATTGCAACTAATCATAGCAGAGAAATTTGCATGGACACCAAAGTTTAGAAATAAAAAGTCCTAAAATAAATCATTTTTTAAAAATCAATCAGAGCACATCAAATGACACTACTGGGAAAACCTCCATAGAGGAGTCATTAATTGTATATCATGTTTTCTCCCTGACTGACTAGGACATCTTCATTTTAGTATAAGCATACACAGATTGCAGCATGTCAGAAAAGTAACTATCAGAACTTTGACTGAGCCCAGTAGCATGTTACACAGCATTTTTAAACATATTTTGACAGCTTCATCTTTATCCAAACGTAAGTATATGCATACATGCAAAAAAAAACCAAACAACAACAACAAAAAAAACCCAACCAAAACCATAAAAACAAAACCATAAAAACAACTCCAAAACCACCAAAAAGCAAAATTCTAGAGGCCTTCATCACTGAACACTTGTTTTCCCCTTTCAGAAATTTTGGAAGTAATATTATTTCACCTAAAAGACAGAATTTGCAATCAAGAAAATATAAATAATTTAGGATAGAAGTTTTTTTTGGGGCATATCATGAAGTTGCATTCTCTCATAACACATTTTCAAAAATCACACTTTAT